TTTATTCCTGGAAAAGTTGTCGTAGCCGTTGAATTAGTGTTTTGGATCTATGTTTGATGAGTTCCGGAGCTACATTTCCTGGATCAGGTGATTTGCCATTCTTTAGATGTCTGCATACAGTTTTGACTTCTCTCTCATTTATCCTGATTGGTGATCCTATCAGCCTGACGCCTTGTAGACCATAGTTCTCTAGCATATTTTTCTTCTGACCATTGCTTGCATTCTTTTGTATTCGATTCTGTTTTCCACATTTCTTGTGTTCTGGTATTTTTGATACAATTTTCTTTTCTGTGTTATTCAATCAATCAAAACATGATGTCCATATACACTTTCGACAGTCGACAGACAAAAGTGCAGAACAAAATTGCGTAATGACATTCCTATTCAGAATTTAAAAATAGAAAATTTTTCTAGAGCTACTTTTATCATAATATATACTATTCTGTAAGATAATGGAGCACAGCATCATATTCTTGATAATTTTTTATAGCCTCTTTATCAGTCGGCACATTTCCTTAAACATACCTTAATAATACAGTTGATAAAATCTTTTAATTCAAACAGAAATCACGCCTCTATGTCACGGCGTCTATATCTCGTCTTTATATTTCAATTTGAAAGAATATTTTTAGATCAGACCATATAAATGAGTAAATATTCGTATGAATTGTACTATTGTTATCCAATTTTATTAATATACACAATTTAAAGATCTTTGAACGTCTTTAGATTAAATTTATTATAAGATATGTTCCTCATTTAAATCTATGTTTAGTAAGATATAGTACTGATAATTTTTATCTATGAAATAATCAAATTATTTACAAAATCTTCTAGATATTTTGCTGATAAGCCATCTGAAGTTCAAAGCTCAAAGGTATATCAAAAGGGTTATGATACTTAAATCCAATAAGAATATTTATTTGTTGTTTAATTAAAAAAACAAAATTTGTTTAATTTACTGTTTGTATTTTGAAAACGATTTCCGAAGTGGAAATTGAAACGTCAATAAATGTATTTTTACCTTTAATTGTGGCTTATTCACAGTTAAATAGTAATTAATTTAAAATGCCACAAGAAAATAGCTTCAGAACAATATACGAAATATTCTGCTCCACTTCTTTTAACACGCCCTCTATATACATATTATATTCATTTTATTTGCATTTGATACAGTAAAATCCAATATTATAACTGAACATAAAATACAGGAAATTAAATATTTTTATTTTTCGGAATTAAATCTTAACGCCCCACTGTTTAAGCCCCACTGATCATATCTTAATTAGATATTGACCATCACAGGGTAAAAGAATTTTACCAAAATTATGTATAGTCAAGGCATTATATTTATGAATGTACTTTACATAATATCTTTATGACCCTGGACTATAATTTACCTCGAAATAATACAGGACACCATTGTTTTCCATAAATGATTCTGTTTTGACTTCTTGCTTTAAGTCAGAGCTTGGTTACTAATTTGGAAAATTTCATATAATTATCTCAAGAATATTAGTTTATAAAACTTTAGTAAATGTTTATAAATCTATGTCTTACTCAATAATACCACATGAAATTTTACAAATTATAACATCATACATATTGTAATTTCAGAAATACTAACATCATCCAAAAATTAAAGAAATTCTCCGACTTATTCAGCTGGTTTTCCATTAATATCAAAATCAAGGGTCAAAAGGTATAGTTTCTTATCTTTATCAATAGTTTGTAGGATCCTGACATATTTTTTTGTGATCTGATTGGTACTAAGGGTCAATTATAGCAATTTAAGCAATTGCTTTTGTTTTTAAGGAATTTGTTATTTATAAAGGAAGTCGTTTGGTAATGTGATCCATACATACTTATACCATAATTAAATATCGTACCATAAGTCCAAAGTCAACATATCAATGTATAGCTAGCTTATACTTCATCAAGATAAGCAAAATGTGTTGTTAAGTTGATTACATTTTAGACACATTGAGGCAACATTAGATAGATATTTTTAGAATCCAACGGAGATCAGTGAGTTTTTAAACAGCAAAAATAACATTCCAAAATATATAAAAAATAAGTCGAAAAATTTTAGCAACTTACTGATTTTTAGATTTTTTTGTGATGTTGTGACAAAAACATTTCCGTAAGCACAGAGCTAATCAAGGACTTTGGACTAATCCAACGTCCTTTTCTTTTAATTCTACAATTTTCCGAATGATTTCCGATACTCCACTGAGGTGTTATCAAATGCTCTCCCTATGCCCATAAACAAAGATAATGCTACTGTTTTGGATAATAAAAACTTTTCGAGGTCGTTTACTAGGCAATGCATGGCCTCTATGGTAGATTTGCCTTATTGATCGGAAAATGGTGCTTCATGAATAGATATGCTTGACAAGTATCACTTCTTTGGTCTTAAGGCTAATAGGCTTATATGACTTTGATTCCTGTGGAGGGTATTTGCCACCCTCAGAAATAAATCATATTATAACCTCACGCTATTCTATTGAAATATAATTTAACAGGAAAATTATATTAAACACTTTTACTGGGTCAGGCAGTAGGATATCCATTCCTTGCTGAAGCAGAGCTGGAAAGATACCATTCTGCATAGAAGACTTGTATGGCTTATAACTATAGATAACCCATTCAGTTCCATTCTTTGTAATTTTTTCTCCACTAGACTTTTTGATGGACTTGATGATTATCTGTATGCAGATACACCAACCTCGGTTTTTCCTTCATCTTCAATAATTAATAGTTAACAAGAAAAGTGAGCATTTAAAAAACATCTCATGTTTACCTCTTTGATCTCCGTAAAATCACCGTTTGGTTTATTAAGTAGTCCAGTGCCGTTAAAATGGTCTCTCGATTTAACTTTTTGAAAGCGCACCACGGGGACCAAGTTAGTAGTAGAATTAGGGGTAGATATAATAGTGCCGGTAATGTTCGTTAGTGTTGTTTAGTTATATTTGAGTTTTGTTTTTATGTTGGTAAGACCGATCTAAGCGTAAGTATTCGTGAGGTCAGCTAAAGATCCCAATTGGTGTCGCATAATTTATGGAGAAGCCTGTTTGAAGTTAAAATTTTAGCAGCAAACTTTTTTATTTTAGACGTTTTTAATTCAATCAAAAGGTAGACAGATATACATACTTGGGAACAATCGTAACCTAATACAACGATTATACACAGATCAAATCACGTATAGGAAAAGCCCGATCAACATTCAATAATATAAAAAAAAGTACCTTGTAACAATGATATGAGTCTGCAAATCAAAGTACGAATATTAAGGTGGTATAAATTTTCTGTTATTATATAAAATGGAGGCATGGACAATAAAAAAGGATATAAGTAAAATTTGAGATGTGAGCTTATAGAAAAAATTTGAAAATAAGTTAGATAGGGTCGATAGGGTTACAAACAACGACGTTTTAAAAAGAGTGAACAAGGAAAAGAAGATATTAAATGCAATTAAAATTACAGTATCTGGGTCGTGTCATGAGGGATGAGAGATATGCGTTGCTGCAAATCATTATACAGGGAAAGATACTGGCGAGAAAAAGCATAGGCCAACGACGTATATCCTGTCTAAACAATGTGAGACAATGGTACAATTTGTAAGTCTGTTAAGCTGTTTAGAGCAGCAATATTAAAGATGAAGATAGCCGTAATGATAGCCAACCTTCTTAAAGAAGACGGCACTTAAAAAAGAAAAGCATCTTATCTCTAAGAGAGATGGTCGTTATTCTGTTATCGTCCATCCTATAGCTATACAGCCCAATTCAAGCCTTAGCCTTCTCCATGATCAACTACCAAGATCTTTTCTATGGGGATTCTATCCCTGTCTATTATATGGGAATTATTTCGATTAGGTGAGGTAGGTTTCTGTTCTATGCCAGTTTCTTAAGAAGTTTCTCCAAACTTTTTAGGAACAGCTCAGTACAAAAAAGTTCAGTACATCTTTGAATTCCTTGGGACGATTACTATTATAGAAATATTTGAAGATAGTTTACGTAACTACTGTCATTTTTTGGTTGTTTTTCTTTTAATGCCCGTTTGATATTTGCATGTTTATAACATTATAATTGATATGAGGTTGAATGCTCGAATAAATAAACTTAAGGCAATTATATCGAGCACAAGTTTAGTCAAATCTTGCCCAAGTACTTTCGCTTCATATAGCATCTTCAGGGGCATTTCGTCAAATATGGGCTATCCAGCAAGCGTAGAATGTGATAAACATGGATGTTAACATAAAATTGTACAAACACTACACTAGAACAAGGACAAACAGTTTAAAATTAATTAAAATAGTTCTACGCTACATTCTTTGGCGGTAACAGAAGAGGGAACCATCTCTCTCCTCCAAACAAACACCTCCACACACTGGGGCTAGCAAACACACCTCTATGTATGAAATGTGAACGGCTCTCCTGGTGACTTGTCCACCTTCCTAGAAATGGAAGGAGGGACAATAAACTAAGGGCGACAGATCCCTGGGAGGAAGCACAATGGGTGAATTGTGGTGTAAGTGCTGTGGAACTTAACTCGCCCTTCCTACTCTATAGATACAAAGAAGGGTTAAGTTTTGACAATATTGTTAAAAAAACTTTGATAAGGTATAACGGATTAAAAAAAGAAACAATAAAAAAACGTTTAAATAGCGCGTTATATAATAAATTTTAAATATTTAATGTTTTAATATTTATTATTAAACATCTACAAAAATTTGATAAAGTTGTATTTAAAAACATTGGGATTGCCCAATATAAATATTTGAAATTTTCAAAATACTGACATCATATATTTATTTAGTAATATTCAAAATAATGTCATCATTCAAAATCCAAAAAGTTATCTCTGTAACAGTTTAACCGGCATTCCCCTAATAAATTTTATCGGTATCAAGGTTCACTCGCAATCAGCTGTGCCCACCTCTATCAACTTGTATTTATAAACGCCGTGAATATCCCGACAGACTACAAAACGAATACACACGTAGCGAGCGAGATCTCAAACTCAGTTTTTACTTAACATAATTTGACGTTAGTGAGCCGGTAAACATTGCTTTAAAATCATGTCGGAAGAATTAGTGGTAACAACCGAAATTGGCAAGCTTCGGGGCAAAGCCCTGAAGGATTACCACGGTGATAAATTTTATAGTTTTAGTGGAGTACCCTACGCCAAGCCACCGATAGGCGAACTTAGATTTAAGGTAGGTCATTTTTACCCTTTTATTTTTGTCGAACGGGCACATTTAGTTTTAATGAAGTTGTTTGCCTCTATCGAGGAAATGGACTTTTATGGTCTTTTTTAATCTTTTACTTAGTCTAATACAATCTCACCTTGTCCTACTGTTGGGTTTTGTTGAATATGATGTGAATACAAATAATTACATATCCTTCAACTAGTATTTCTTTGTAAAAATTGACACTGATCTTCACTTACTAACCTGTTTTTGTATAGCTCAGGGCCTTCTTCTACAAAAGACATATTTTGTCTATAAATTCATCCTCATATTGTAGTCCATCTAAGGTAATTTTACTCTTTTTGAAATGATCCTCTTTTATCAATCTGCACTGCACTGTCAGTAAAATTTGAGTAAGAACTTTAGATCAATTGAAAGCATCAATTAGCTTTTCTTTTGTTTTTTTTTCTTTTCTGATTTTCTTTTCCAACATTTTCATGATCGTTGAAGGGATGAGGATCCTCTTTGCTTCTTTATTAATAAAAATTCCTTTGTGTCACTACGTTTTGGAGGTCTTCTTTATAATCAAATAACATTTTAATTGACAATTAAGTGTACTTTCCATGACGTTTATGTTGGATATCCCATTATTTTCTCATTTACGAATACGGTATCGATATTTGTGATAATGTAACTTTTATTCAAATCACAAATATAGATGTCCTTAAAAGAATAAACCAAGAACGCCAACTTTTCGAAACCATCAAGAAAAGGAAAACGGCGTATCTAGGTCACATCACGCGAAATGAAAAATACCAGTTCCTCTCAAGAAAATGTCCTGGCTCCGAAACATAAGGCAATGGACAGGGATTAATGACATACAATCTCTGATACATATTGCAAGAAATAGAGAATTAATGGAAAATGTGATCGCTAACATCCATTAGTGGATTTGCATCCGAAGAAGAAGAAGAAGAAACTTTTATTCATTGTCTCTGCTTCTCTTAGTCCCTGTCTTCTTTTGATGCACTCCTATAAAAGAACCTGTAGGTACTCTTCGATGTTTATGTTTCATTTTACCTTTTCTTTTATTCTGTTAATGGTAGATTATATGTAGATTGTAGATTTTAAAGCAGTAGGTGATTTTCTTTTGTAGGTATGTCCACACTGCTTCCTGATAAATCTTGTGTGTATACTTGGCATTATATGTTTTAGTCTAAGAGATTTCTTAGAGTACTTCTAAGGAAACTATTATCTGTTCAGAATCTCTATTTTTTACTTCATCAGGATCTGTAAATACAGATTTATACAAGTTGCTTGTCTTAGGAAAATATTTTTCCAGTCGGCTGCACTAGTACTTGTTCTCAATTTAGGACATCTGCCATAATACGGCTTTTTGGAATAACGCAGAATAATTCTGGCTCAATAAAAACAGTAATAGCCCATTCTTTAGCAAGACTATCAGCAATTTCTCACACATTGTGCTTTCTCAGTTGGCCATGAAAATGTTTGCAGTTCGATATTGTTACTCAGACACAATTGATAGATTTCAGACTCTTCAGTACAGTTTGACTATCAGATTAATGGTTTTGGTCTACTCTTACACATTTCACACCAATTCCTTGGACATTATTTGCTTCACAATTTTCAAAAAAGTACCAAAAAAACCGTGTACGTAACTTATAAGGAAGACCACAAATACGATGAGTAGACGATCTCAAAAATTTGAAAACCCGAGCGGGATGAATATAGCAACCAATAGAAAAATAGAAGAAAATCTAATGTTGAGCAAATTAAGCTGATCTATATTTTAATCTGGAAATTGTTGGAAAAATCACCTGGATAAAATTCGAATACAATATAGCAAAGAAGTTGGAAGGATGAAGATTGTATTCATCTGAATTTATTCCAAGATAATCGCAAAATCAGTAATGTGCTTGGTAGGTTAGGTAGTTGTCGTAGTCGTTCCCCTACGATATCCTAAACATGTTATATAGTTTTGAGGTCGAGACTTCTCGGAGGCCAAACCATGGCAGGAATTCCAATCTCCTGACGATATCGCTACACAATTGTTGTAATGTGTGGCATGTTTTTCTAAAATGTCTGTAATGTGCTGTAAGCCGCCTTCCATCTATTGAAACTAACACCGTACGAGCTTCCAAATTAATCTCACCTCACGCCATTACTGAGCCGACACCATACTGTATAGTTCCTACAATGTTACACTGTGCGAAGCGTTTCCTAGGAATTCTATACACTCTTTTTCACCTACCATCAGAAAAAAGAATATCTGGATTCATCGGTGAATAATATTCTTCCAAAATCTTCATTTTTCCAAACAGATCAATACTGGGTGCAGATCATATTTGGCAAGTCTCCTTCATATCGTTTTTTTGGCTTATTCAAAAATTGTAATGGTCCAATAGTGCTACAGAGAAGTACTGGCAAAAAACCTACGAAGTCTTAAGAATCGGTTTTCATTAGGAGCTGTGACCCTTCTGCGGCCTTGACAGGGTCTTCTTGAGTTACCTCCAGTGACAATAAAATGTATTAAAACTATTGAAATGGTTGACTGAGTGATATTTAACCGTTCAGCGAGTTCAACTTGAGTTTACCCTTCTTCGCGATTCTAATGCAGTCAAATTCTAATAAATTTCGATTTTCTTGTAGTTGGTGGTTCATTTTAAGGAAAAATACTAGATAAATTTAAACAGACAACTTGAAGATTTAGCAAAACTTAGAGCTATTCGTACTATTATATTTTCTTTCATTTTTTCGATGTGTTGATTGCATTCCATTTGTCTTCTTTTGGTCCACGCGTTTCCTCTACACCATATCTCGCTCGTATTTCCTTACTTCTTACTCTGTCTCTTAGAGTTTGGTTTGTCATTTTTCGTAAGACTTTCATTTCTGTTGTTTCCAGCAGTCTTTGTGTTTTCGCCGTATCTGCTCTTGTTTCCGCTGTGTACGTCATTATCGGTCTTATTGTTGATTTATATATCCTGGTTTTCGTTTCCGTTGTGAGGTATTTGTTTCTCCAGATTGTGTTGTTGAGACATCCTGCTGCTCTGTTTGCCATGTTCACTTATTTTTGTAATTCTTCTTCCACTTCTTCAAATTACAATCCAATTACAAATTAACATGGTTAATAATCATGTTTAGTAATTTCTTTTTTTATTTGCACAAATCCGACAGCATAGTTGATAGTCTTTTTAAGATAACTCTCTTATATTTTAGTTCTATTATATTTGTATATAATATTTTAATAAAAATCTTATGCTTTTAGATCTTTTAGATAAAATATAAACAAATGCTTTTAGGTCCTGGTATATTTTCAATATAAAAGTTAATCATATGTGAGATATATCCATCAGACAGCTCACATCCCTCCATTATCCCTCCCCATAAGTACCTTCTATCGATTGGTAATTAACCAGAGAGTCAATGATTAACATGACATGATTTTCAAAGGATTCAGCCCCACGGTATCACCTACCACTCCATCAGAATTATGACACTGCAATCCTCGAGATTATCTTGTGCTTTGCAAATTAATTCCATTCGGTATTTCGTAGAGAACAGAGATGTTCTATAGAGACTTAATTATCATTAATTAATGTCAATTAAAGGTAGATGTGTAATTAAGGAAAATTCTAAAGAGGAAATTAATTTGATTTGATTTTTGATGTGTTAGTAATAAGTGGTTAGTTATATTAACAAAATGAGTTACGTTAAAATTAATCGTATTGTTAGAGCATAGAAAATCATAATAATGAGTTACTCGGTATTCTAAATATAGAAAAAAGGCTATAAAAATTAAAGTTAGATTAGAATCAACATAACACGTGTTAGTTTCGAAAACATTAACTAAATAAATTGTAACATACTGAAATATTGTAAATTACGAAAAATATAATTCACCTATTTTTAAATAGGTAAAGAAATAATAAATAAGACTTACTCACAATCAATTTAATTTAACTATCAGACGACCGGTTTCGCTTTCTACAATATGCAAAGCATCTTCAGGTCTCGATACAAAGTTAAGTTGTATCGAGACCTGAAGATGCCTTGCATATTGTAGAAAGTGAAACCGGTCATCTGATAGTTAAATTAAATTGATTGTGAGTAAGTCTTATTTATTATTTCTTTACCTATTTGAAATGGACTCACACAAGCAACACATTCATGATCACCTATTTTTTATATAAACATTATCATCACCATCAGAGGACGCTACTATACTTTTTAAGTCTTTTTCTTCTTCTTTTTTATGTGTTATCTAATCTTAAAAGGTTGAAAATCATAATTGCAAGCTACCCTGAACAAGTCAACGAGGTTGCCCTAATGTAGGCTATCAAAATTTTCAGGAAATATGACTCTTTCTTCGACTTCTTCTTCCTTGAATTCTTCCTTGCATTAAAACTTGAATTATTATCTAGATATATAAACTTTCTTAGTGATGGGTCTTTTTCTTTCACATGCTTCTAAACACCTTGATTTTCGTGACTCGTGACGAAGTGACCTTGTCACTTCGTGACTTGATTACCCAGCTTATAGTTTAGCATTCTTATATAGGTAGTTAACACTTTAAGTATTCTTAGATAGCTTAAAGATTATCAATATGGACTTTGTCTGGAGGACGATACAAAACCCAAATAGATCATATTCTTTTCACTAAACGATGAAGGAACTTGAGATCATTGTAAAAATAAAACCAGCAGCTTACTGTGATTCCAAGCACAAAATATTACAAGTAGATTTCTGCATTAAGCTACACAGAAGACAATAATTATAAATTAACGAATTTGATTCTAAAATACCTAGAATCTTTTAGAGAAGCATTAGCAAAAGCTGATCTATCAGTGGTGAGAAAACCTGGGAATATACAAAGAAATGGATCACTAAAACCGTTAACAACACAAGACCTATAGAAATAAACTCTCAGCCCTGTAAAATAAGTAAAAAAAGACGATTAAGATTCTGGGACCAACCAAGTAAAGGTGGATGCTCAGCCTTATTAACAGCATATTATTAAGCTAAAATAACCTAACCTAACCTATTTATCAAAGCTTTGCACGCAACTGAAAAAGGTATTCTACTAAATGGTTACCGGCTAAACAACATCAGAAATGCAGATGACATCATAGTATTTGCGAACAACTTAGAAGACCTACAAGTTCTTATGAACAAAATCACGTATTGTAGTCAAGAATATGGACTCAATATAAACGTTAAGAAGACAAAACTTATGATAATTAGCAAGAAAAGGATAACTTTACTTCAATTTATCCCTGTAGAAGTGAAGCACTACAACTGCCTCGGCACCATAAAAAATGAAGAATGGACCAACAACCAGGACATTAGAGCACGCATCGGAAAAGCTAAATCCACCTTCAACCGGATGGAGGCCTTCTTCAAGAGTCACAACCTCTCTCTTGAAACAAAAGTAAGAGTGCTGCGATGCTACGTCTCCCTATCCTTTTTTATGGTGTTGAATCGTGGACCTTAAATGAAGATTGAACAATAACTCGACAAAAAAAAAAGCGTAAATGAGGACGATGGACCACAAGTCTTTAGATTAACCTTTAAATTTAAACGACTTAATTTTACAAGCGATTTAACTGTACATGAAATGAAAAAATGTTTTTTATTATTCAGATTTTTTTTTAAAATTTAAGGTAGACATACTTATTTGCGATACTAAATTACATAGTGATTTAATACATCAACAATTTGTATAGACTATTAATTTACCTTATTTGATTTGTCGGTAAAGTCAAGTTCACGATACTCGTCATACCAGTTGTCTCTTTCATGGATATTGCCAGATTGTTGTATGTGTTGCTTTTCATTTCCTTATTAATATAATTACATATGCAATAAAAATTAAACAATTATAATCCTGCACGAATGCTGCTTGAATAAAATTTAAAAATTATTACCATAAATCTTGTATAGACCATATTTACATACTAGACCAGACTAGATTCTCGAAAGGAAATAAACAAACAACAAGGATCTACGTAATGTGCTATGGGAACAAAACCATTTTAAAGAAGCATGAGACATGTGGAAATGGAATGAGTGATATAAATGGAAAGGACAGTAAAAACTTCAAACTTCAATAGCATTTGAGAAATAGTCTGGATTTAAAAAAATCTATTTTTGTTCTATAGATTTCGAGGAAAAGACTGTATTGAAGAATTAAATTTCATGAAAGAAAAAAAGCGATGAATGACGAACTTAATTTTGATTAAAATGACTCCTGTTTTAACAAATATTAAACGGAGAAGAAAAATAAACAGAACCTAAAGCTATCAATATATAGAAAGCCTGAAAGGAGATCAGAAGTCCAAACGCACCGCATGAAGAATAAAATCCAATGATATAAAATTGACCTAAAGCAAGTACTAGCTTAAACAACTAAAACATGAGCTGGAAAGTCACAGACTCAAACATTGATAACAAAGAAAATACCAGGAAAAGGAGCGGAAATATTGTATAAAGATGGAAAAACAGCTTCACGAGATCTGATAACAATTCAACCAAAACTATATTCCATTGCATAAAAAAAAGATGGTAAAGATATAAGAAAAAGCAATTATTGAATAAGAAAAACTTTGAGTACTGACAAATAATTAAAAGTCAAAAAGACAGGGCCCTTTTAAGATCAACTTTAAAAGAAATAACTATTTTAATTAAGTCTTTATTTAAATACCAAAAGTAACAATGTACTTCTCAGCTTTACAAGTAAAAGTACTCTTCCTGTCATCATAAGCGTAGCTGTAAGCATCAGGGCAGTTAGATTTGAAGTATTCCGGATAATTCACGGGCCAATCTGAACTTCTACACGTTTCTGGAGTACCGTAGGCGCCTCGGCAGCAGTACTGGTCGGTGTTGAAGGCCAAACATGCCGACTTGCATCCTACAGTGCCGTGTTCTGTTGTCAATCGAAGCGCGTCAGGACAGTTGTCATTCAAATGACGTTCGCATCCACATTTTTTACAGCTGTACTGGCTTCCGTCGCCGCTTCCACCTACAGGTTCAAAGCTAACGGCTATATTAAAGCCGTCGACTAGGGATATATCGTAGTAGTCTATGCCTCCATATCCCTTTAGGGTGATTTCAGCCAGGGATGCTGGAGGTGCTCCTCCGTTGCCTAGAAAATAGTTTCCTATTAAAATTAATTATTACAAAAACAACTTCAAATCTAGTGATTTCAATATGAATAGACAAAAAAAGGATATTTTACTATCAACTAAATCACCAATGTAGTGATTTTTTACTAAATCGATAAATACGAAAACTTTAGAAAATTCTTGACCATAAATAAAACCTTGTACTGCAGGTCTTACTGAACAAACGTTTCCAATTATGGTCTATATTTTAATATTTGCGCTTTGACCTTGACCTCAAAATATATCGTAGATACTAACCTCCACATTCAATTCTATTTCCACAATCACCTGTGGCGCAATGTTGAGTATTTATGTCGCACCACGTTCGTGCCCAAAATCGACCAGCCCAATCTTCTGGCGCTTGCAGTGATCTACTAGCTCCTGCTTCAAGAATAAATCCACCATTTGCTAAGGCTTCCTTACCTACAAACAATATGATAATTACTTTTGTGCTTAGAGCTAAACTTGCTATATTATTTTTATCAGTTATTGATATTGTATCGCTATTGAGGCTACAGTCCCTACCTGTTTAATCTTATTATGGATGTACTGACAGAGAAGGTTATTAAGGAGACTTGGTAAATGCCTTAGTGACGAAGAGCAAATAATTTTGGAGAAGAAGAGGTTCGGTTAAGGGTCATTGAAATTAAAGGACTTAAGGTGAGCAGTTCTAAAACGGAGTATATGTGGTTGCGTGGAAAAGGAATGGTAGATGACATCGAATTGCTTGAACCGATGACTGATATGAATGGCCTAAAATTGAAGGAAAAAAGGGTGAAGACGTATTTAAAAGTATCTAAATATAAGTTATAAGTTTCAAGGTCCAGATATCTATGATGATCTACAATATTCATGACGAAGATGGCACTTAAGCGGAAACAAACAAAGAACAAATACAAAATTATTTATTTGAGATAAAAAGAAGAATGAAAGGATCTAGGGAAATAATTATCAACAAAATAATTGATATAGTTACCAGAATTTCCTTGTATTCCTACCCATATGGCACCAATTTCTTTATTTACAATCTCAAATTCGACAGCACAAGCTGACGAAAAGACTGCCACGACAAATAGGTATTGAAACATTATCAAAAAATCAATTAATTTAAGTATATTTAAGTTTGCAGGTCTTTATATAGATAATGTTCAAGAAAACAATATTTTTCAAAATGATCAAGAGTATTGTGATTACGATAAGATTTTTAAATATAATATCAGTAGCAACAGCAATCATCAACCTTTCAAGTGTCCAATAATTATAAAAATTGACTTGAAACTTGAAATGTTTACAATACAATCATTGGGCGAACACTCCTTGAAAACAAAAGGATTTCTAATAACAAAGAGGGAAGAAAAAGTGTTCTTTAAAAAGAAGAAACAGCATTAACTTTATATAAATTTTATCTTCTTCATGTCTATCTTGTTTTTCCTCTTCTTGCCTTTTGTTATCTTAAACTTTTTTTGTAGCTTCTTTGATTGGTCTAAATCTACTAAATAAATTTACAACAACTTTCTTCTCTACTGTTTGTGTTAGCTTCTGCAAGCTTCCAAATAGGTAAATTATACTAGGCTAATAATAATGTTTTATTAATCTTAATCAAGTTGTATTAATTTTTCAACTGCTATGTATATCCCATTGTTTTGGACAGTTCAACAGTATATTATCATGTTTTAATATTGGTTAATCACAATATCTGATCTAACTATTATTTTACTTAAAAAATGGTCAAGAATCCAAATAAACTTGAAAAAAAAAATATTTTTGTCTCTGTTCTACTTGAAATAAAAACAACTTTTATCTTCGTACTTAAAAAATAATATTTTTAATGATCGTAATACGTTTTATTTGATTGGATATGCAAAGTTTATATAATAAGGACAACAGATGCTTAACTGATAAGGTAATACAATATGGTGTGTACACAACATAAAAACAAGTTAGATAGTGAGATAGTTGGTTTAGTAAGTTAAATAATATTGCAATTCATTATTTACTCTCAAAAAATACTTGTTAGAACATCAAAAAATCTAATAATAGAAAACACGTATCACAAAAATTTAACATCATTATCATCCACTCCATATATCTATCTAACCATTCTAATTTCCCTACATGTACATCGTTGGTGATCTTACATGAGTTTTACATTGTTTTCCTCACTTTCATTGGAATGTTTCTGTCACTAAACATATCACTCTCCTCCTTCAATTTCACTTATCCCAGTCGAACTCTGCTACATGCATCTCCATCTATTTCCTCATTAAGTTTTCTCCCTTTTTTTTTAAGAGCTTGTCTCTACTGTTTTGGTCTTTGCTCTAATGTCATTTCAGTGTTAACTATTATTACCACATCATTAGCATATATTAAGCACAAGGGAATGTTACCCTACAGTTTCCCTATGATCTGATTTAACATAACAATAATAAATTAGAGGATAACTTTAGCAGATAAACAACAGGGTTTTCATAGTGGAAGACCGTGTATTATTTTTTTTTAAACCTATTCTCTATCCTTCCATTGTTGGATATAGGTCTCCCCCAGTTCTCTCCATCTTTCCCTATCTTGAGCTGTTCTCTGCCATGTGGGACCTCCTTGTTTCCTGATGTCATCTTTCCACCTCATCTGTGGTCTGCCTCTTGATCTCTTTGCATTGTATGGACGACACTTTCCGATGGTATTGTTCCATCGTCCGTCTTGGAGACGTTCATTGTGTCCAGCCCATTTCCATTTCAGTTTTGCTGCTTGTTCTATCGCGTCTACTGTCCTTGTTCTGGTTCTGATCCACTGGTTACGTTTTCTATCTCTAAGTGATACACCCAACATTTGTCTCTCCATCGCTCTTTGTGCCTTCCTTATCCTATCCAAATTGGCCTGTGTAAATGTCCATGTCTGTGCTCCGTAGGTGAGCACCGGTATTATGCAGGAGTTATATACCTTGCTTCGTAAGTATAGAGCGATTGTTTGATTTTTTAAAACGTAAGAAAGTTTGCCGAACGCTGCCCATCCCATTTTTACTCGTCTCGATATTTCGGCTGTTTGATTTTCTCTGTTAGCTCTGATTGCTTGTCCTAGATAGATATACTCATTTACCTGTTCTATCTTTTCTGTTTTTATTTTTATTGCCTCTTGGTCTTCCGTGTTTGTCATTACTTTTGTTTTGTTGAAGTTAATTTTTAGGCCTTTTTGCAGTGATTTTTCATGAAGTTCATTCAGCATTAATTCCAGTTCTTGTCGTTCCGAGGAGATCAGGAGTATATCATCCGCATATCTAAGGTGATTTAGGTATTTTTCGTTAATACATATTCCTCTGTTTTCCCAATCTGTTGATTTTATTATGTCTTCGAGGGTCAAGGTAAACAGTTTAGGTGAAATTATATCGCCTTGTCGGACTCCTCGTTTAACTTTTATATTATCCGTAGGAATAATGCACCTATACACGGAAGACCGTGTATAGGTGCAATATTCGTTACAAAGAAAATTACTGGGAAACACTAGAGTAAAATAGACCAGCATTTCTATGTTTGATTGACCTAAAGAACGCGTTTGACAGACTCAAAGATGTAATCCATCTTCTGTATAATAGAGAAGCTACCCTAAATATTATAAAAACTCTCGAAAATATCTACCAAAACAACAAAATGGAAGTCAGAATAGATTTACAACTTACAGAAGCTACAGGAATAGGCAGCGGAATGAGACAAGGATATTCATTGGGCCACATGCTCTTCAATTTGATCATGGATAAAAGCATTAAAAGCGTTAACAAAGGAAGAGGATACAGAATGGGAAACAAAGAAATCAAAATAATCTATTATGCAGACGGCGCATAATTGAGAGCCGAAGATAAAGATAGTCTGCAAAGACTGGTCCACAGATTTAACATAAGAGCAAAAGAATGTAATATAACAATCTCACCTCAGAAAACTAAAACAATAGTAGTCAGCAAATAACCAAATAGATGTAAAATAGATATTGATGCCATCAGTATTGAACAAGTAATAGAAATAAAACGCCTCCAATGAACAAGCAGAAATGCTTATAAAATTATAAAGAGGAGGAAGAAGAAGAAGAGTAGAAAAGGGTTAACTAGTAAGCTATGTTGTAATCCTACTTTCATATAAAACTCAATTTTCCAACTTCCTGAAACTAGTGAATATATCTCACAATCTTCACATACTAACTGGAGATTTTCTTTCACCTTTTCTTCCTGGAATCCAGCCAGCATATATAGACACATGAACGAAGAAATTTTATCATTAATTTGGATATTGGTGAAAAAAATTATCTGCACGTCAAATCAATATTTTCTTATTGCCTTTTAATCTGTTTGCTGAATATTCAGATATTGCTTGTGAATATTATTTGGTTTTGATATAAATATGTTTATGCTAATTTAAAACGATTAGTGATTTTTCCATTTGTACAGGAAGTAGGTACTGATAATAACAATCTTTTGTCAGTTTTTATCCAGTTTATAATTATCGTATGTTTATACTTTTGCGGTTGATAATCAACAGAAAAGAACTCGAAGCATCAAATACAACACATATCATATCTGTTATTGTTGTTCCCCTTTTTTTCTAACGCGGAAGTGGCGTTGTTATATTGATGTGACCTATAAAATCGTAAACAAAGGTCTGTAGCGGAACAGAATTTTTTTACATCAAGTGTAAAAGGATTGCAGTTAAACTATTAACATATTATATTGTATCATTAGTTGATTTCAAGACCGGATATATTATTATAGGTTCTTTTATCACTCAGTTATATTAAAACATCAAGTTTTTTAACAATTGTTGAACAAATAAAGTATGTGCTCCAGTTTTCTAGCGATACTATCTCACCGTACTACTCATCCATTGGCTGACTCGATTTACAGCACATTTTCGGATGATTTTGGCAGGATTTCAGCAGGATTTCGTACTGATAACTTTAAATTATTTCTGTTGTTTGTACATTTTTTCTAGCTTGACTTTTGTACGAGCCATTAGGTCTAGATGATCTGCGTAGTCCATAATTTGTGAGATTTTTACCACAAATATTTCCTATGTTCCTCTTGGACGTAGAAGCTGGAAAGGTAGGCTTTCATATGAATTACAGAAAGACCAAAACCATAACAAATACAGATGAAGACATCACAATGAGGATCGGGCAAGATGAAATAGAACACGTTCAGGATTATATATATCTGGGTCAAACTAGAAAACTAAACAAAGAAAACCAAACAGCAGAGATAAAAAAACGAGTTAGACTGGTATGGGCGGCATTTGGCAAACTAAGCTACATTCTTAAAAACAAAAGATATCCACAGCATCTTAAGACCAAAGTATACAATCAATGCGTACTCCCTGTTTTCACTTATGGTTTCCAAACGTGGACATTTACAAAAGCAAACATGGATAAAATGATTAAAACCCAAAGAGCAATGGAAAGACGAATGTTGCACATAAAACTAATGGATAAAAAGAGAAACGAGTGGATAAGAGAGAAAACAAAAGTGGGGGATGTTAGATAAAAAGTTGCAAAATTGAAATGGCGATTTGCCGGAAACAATATAAGACAAAAAGAAGACCGATAGAACAAAATTCTTATAAGTTGGAGACCGTGGGAATATAAACGAAGCAGGGGAAGGCCCCAAATGAGATCAAGAAGCACGTGGGCTCTAGGTGGATGACTGTAGCGACAGACAGAGAAGAATGGAAAAGGATTGGGGAGGCCTATGTCCAAAGATGGACCGAAGAAAGCTAATTAGATAGATAGATTTCCTCAGTTGTCATTTTGGCGTCTCTAACTCCCTTTTCTAGGACTATATTTAAAAATAGGCCAGCGCATATTTCTGTCGCAGTCTTTTGAACTGTTTTTTAAATACTTGTGGTTAGTAATTCTGTACCTATTTCTACTTTCCAAACACTTTTACACATTGTAATCATTACCAGTTGATCAGAAATGTAGAATTCGTCTAAGGCTTTATACACTTTACTGCATAGCATATTATTATAGGCTGATTCAAAATTTACGAATGGTATTTGTCGATATTGAATTTTGTTAATTTTTTCGCTTAAAAAATAACGCTTTTTTACTGTAATAAAGTTAAAAAATCAATTTTTAAACAATATATTGTACTGTTCTTCTGAT